CTGCAAGATATCATATGTATGTCTTGTTATATACAATCAAGGATATTATACAAATTTACCCACTACTCTTCAATGATATGACTTAAATTTCCTTTCTTGACATTTTTTAGGTGTGATTAGCCCACAAAAATGAAGCAAACATTCTTTACTAACTCTGAAAAAAATAAAATATATGTCGTAAAACAAGTGCAATAAAGGTACAAAAGGTTGTTACCATCTCAACTACTCAAGCTTTTGCTTCTAATTATTTCTGAAGTAATTACATAAAAGGAAAACAAATAGCCTTTCCTAGTGTTTTGCCCAATCTAATATTGGTGCCAATATAATTGTAACACTTTATCGAAATGTAGAGGAGTTTTTTTTTCCTTCCTCAGCTTCAAAACTTATGAATGTATTCAGATATTAAATTTTGTAATCACATTTCTTAGTTTTCCCCTTTAAATATACCTTTTACAACTTGCAAATGTTAGGCTTCTATTCATTTTAAATTTCACTTCTTTGCATCCCTCGGATAGATATCAGGCTGTTTGGATACTAAAATTTCTTAAAGTTAGAAGTAAGTTTCCTATTTTCATTATTTAATTTTAACCAGTACACTTACCCTTTGTTATTCAATCTCCATTATTCTAGAGCAACTGCTAATGTAGAGTTAGAAGATGCCACTGAAACATTAATTGCAAGTGCTATTGGCAATCCTGCTGAGATATTGTTGAAGTGTAATGCTGAGAGTTTAATGCATGATTCAAAATTGGTAAGACATATATCATCCTTCTCTATTTCACTTTTTAATTACTCACTATAATAATGAATATTTTTTAGCCTTCAAAGAACTGATCCAAACATAGAAGAATCCATGGATTTTGAAGACAAGATATTCTACATCAAAGTCACACAGTTAGAGGCAAACACTGCTGAGTACAAGTATGAACTTGTGTTTGTCCTCAATGCATCCTCTATTGTAATAGATGGAACAGAAGAAACAAGTGACAAAGGCAAAGGCAAAGGGTCCTTATGTGTTGCAGACGACATCAATTATGATAATCAAGACATCTCACCACCATCAGCAAAACGATCTTTGTTTCAAACTTCACTGATGAGATTACAGAGAAAGGAAAATTACACTAATCATGGTGGTCTGTATTTGACAAAACATGAATGCTACAATCTAAAAGATTGATGTAGTTGTTTTTCTATCTCCATCTTGTAGCGACTTTATTTTATTTTATAGCATCATTTACAG